TCAAGAGACTTCATTCTCTCTCTTACTGTGGGTTATAAATTACTTAGGCTTTGCTCTAAAAAGCTGCCTTGAACATTGTGTCAGGGAAATGACACTGCGTTACAAATACGAATGTGATGTGCTATAATTAATGTGTTTACTGCAATTTACTTGTACCATTAAAAAGAATCCTAGTGACTACAAAATAAGCTCCGCATGTTAAGAGCAGGCTCCAGAAACCCACCCCACCTCAAACCAGTAGGTAGTAGCAGGGCTGGAGCACAGGAGCAAGGGTCCCATTTGGGGCAGTGGGCTTTGCTGAGGGAGAGAGGGGTACCCAGCTCCGCTTTGCCAAGTTTAGTCAGGGCTGGAGGACAGAGTCTGGTTGCTGCTCTGTGAACAGGAGGTGGGAGGACCAGCAACTCGCCCTCAAAGCCATCAGGCTGTGGGAGAGGAGCTGGTGACTACAGGGAGTCATGTGGCTGGGAGGATGCTGCTCTCCTTGGAGCTGGAAGCTGCTCCCGATGTCTCCCTGTGCTGGCTGAGTCACACAGCCAAGGGCTCTCTGCTTAGAGGAATGGCCTCTCTCTTCCTTTGGCCTCCTTCCATCGCTTTCCCATGGAGAAGCCTGGAGGAAGGGCTTGGCTGGCCCTGATTCCCTGCTCTCAGAGCTTCCTGTCCTTGTGTTCGCTCTAGTTTGCGAGTACAGGGAAAGGGAGACCATCCCACRGTCCCCTCTTGGATTGCAGAATCTCAGCAAGGCTCAGAATGGGTTTTATCAGGCCTAAATTGGGCAACTTGAACTTTTCTGTACTAAGATGTTTTCYTGAAGGAGAAGGGTTGACTGTACACTGTATTTCTCACTAGACCTGTAGTAGAGGGAATTTAACCCCCTACAACTAGTCTGGTTTGAGCTCACCCAGAGCCCTGAGTTATAGGCTCAGACCTTGCCTGAAACCTGCCCGCAGAGCAGAAGTCCAGGCACGGGACAGATCAAAGCCCATTTCTGCCTCCCTCGCTTCTCTAAAGTGTCCCTCTGCCTCCCTCCTTGCTAGCTCACTTTCTAGTGAATTCTCACTTGAAATAATACATTTGCAAGTGAAAGAAATGGATAACTCCCAACTTGGGAATTGGTAGCCTGTGTCATGCAAGCATTTAGCACAGTGGTCTATTCTGACCCTAAAATGCCCATGAAGGTGGTGAGACCTTTACTGTTGGAGGCTTCTGAAACCTTGCTTTATTGATATATTTGAGCTTTCCATTTATCAACCAAACCACCAGCAAAGAGGCACCAGCTCTATCAGGAGCCATGAAGGTGACTGTGGGGGAAGGTTTTTACTCCAGCTGAACCTGGATCCAGTTCTTTTAGCAGCAGCTGTGAGGGATCTGTGGTGTTTGTGCAAACTGTGGTGGTTCTGTTCTTTGTTGTGCTGCGTTAGGATTTGCAACAGAGCCCTGTTCTTGTGCTATGCGTGCGTGTGCACCTGCTTGGTGGGAAGGAAGGAGAGGGAGCAGAGCACTGCAAGCACCACAGATGGGATTCTTGTGGCTGACAATAAAGGATGATCAGATGTGGTCTGAGCATGTTACAGGCAGGGTTTCTTTTTCACACACTTTAGGCAGAGACCACTGAAGCCTTGTTAGGAACTGAGGATCTAACCTGAAAGAGCTTCTGACACCAGCCAGCAATGGAGATACTAACACAGGCGATATGAAAGTTGCTTTGCAAGGATTTGCAGTGCTGTTTAAATATTAAACATGTAGCATGAGTGCCTTGTTTGCCTAGTTGGGAGCATTGATCTGAAGATGGGGTGATGCAACACACAAAGATCTGCTGATGTCAATAGATTTTTATACTGCAAGTAGAACCCTCATACTGGTTTGGATGCCAAGTGGGGGATAGATGGGGATTAGGGATCAAAGCTGGCTCCCTGGCCCTTTTCTAGTCTGTCCTTTCCCTGTCTCTGTCCTGGGTTGTCTTCCCTGCTAGTTTCAACTTTGTTTTCCAAACAAGCTGTAATTCCAGCCCTACCTMTAGCCAAGGTGTCCTCTCCTTGCAGATCTCCTTTCCTAAGGTTACCTGATTCCTTTTTTTCCCTTTATGCCTCTTTAGTTTAGCTTGCAGGAATTGTCCTCACAGAGGAGGCTGCCCATTAGTAGCTCTCTTCCTGCCCCTCTGGAAACGCATGTAACTGTCTCCAGCAGATATCCTTTGAGCAGTGTTGAGTGCGCAGTGACATTAGTTTGGGGCTCATGTTAAGCTTCATATTCTCCATTTATGCATCTTCCTGAAGAGGGTGATGTTCAGATGTGCTCAACAACTGCATCTGCTGCTGGAGTTCAGGCGCCCGCCCCCATGGCCTCTGGCAATCGGCTTTCCGGGTATGGCCACGGCAGGGGCAAAGGCCCAGCTTTTGTGCAGGACAAAACATCCAAGAGTAGGCTTGAGACGCGCCTGACAGCAACAGATTTTCAGACTATTTAAGAAACCTAATTTATATTCCTGGCAATTAACTTTGTTAGCTACTTAATGTTTTGAATAAAAGATGATGGTTGAAAGATCCCTTCCTTTATCCAATATCCTTTAAACACAGCCAGGCCACCGGTGACCTTGCAGAGCAAGCTAAGGCCTGGGACCACYGCAGGGGCACAGCAGTGTCCCGACGCCGGGGCCGTCGCGACGGATTGAGGGGATCCTGCGTGTTTGCCGAGCGAATGGCCCCGCGCTGGCGGGAGGGACCGGGGCCGCGGCGGCCGCTCAGGCCTCGCGCTCCCGCTTTGTCGCCRGGCGCGTGCGGAGGCGGGAGGCAGGGCCTGCCCCGGCCGCTCCCGCCATGGGAGCCCCGAGCGGCCGCCGGTGCCACTGAGGGGGTGTCCCAGGCACCMCATCACGCTGCTCCTCTCCTCCCACCCCGGAGATTTCCTCCCACAGCTCCAGGCGCTTTTCCATGTGCACCTTAGGCCTGGCTGCTTTGCTGCTTCGCTGCTTGKGGAAGAGGCTCCCACAGCGTCATTCCGGAAGAGGTAGTAAATATCCTCAAAGAGAGAATCTAGCAACATTGTTTTTGATTTTATTTTTTTTTAAATGACTGAGAAGGATTAATTCTGTGGAAGCCTCTGTTTTTATTATCAACAAGGTAGCTGAACAGAGCACTGCCGATTGTTACATGCTGGCTTTCCAGCAAGGGAGCTGATTTTCCCATGGTAATGACTTTGAGCCTCTATCGTCTTGTTTTTTTGGGGGAAAAAGAACATTTGCTTTTCCAGGAAGCATTTTCAGCGCTATCAGTCTAAGAATAGCAATCTTCCTGTCGTATCTCAAGTTTCAAAAATCTGGCCTCTTATTGTGCCTGCAGTTTTTTAGCTGAAATACCAGTGTGTTCTGCTGCAACATGAACAGCTTACAGAGCCTCATTCTGTGGTGTTCTTGTTTCTTTTCTAACCAAAATTAATTCTCGAATAAAGCAATTTCTGCCTTAACCATGACCTCTTATCTCTCAGTCCATCAGTTCAGTGATGATCCCAAAGGGAACTGTAACGCTGAGGTAGCTCAAGTGGCAACCCTGCAACCCCACAGTTTTTCTGATGTCTTCCACTAACCCAGACTCCACCAAAGCCCAAGCCCAGGGCTTAGGGGGTTTCTGTTGTTGGGGTGCTGGGGGAGCAGGCACAGCTCCTCCCTGCCAAGCAGGGGCAGTGCCTGTTTAATGGGGAAGCTGCAGCAAGGTGAAGGTTGCAAAGCGCCCGAGCTGGACCAACCCCAACCTTGGAGGCAGGGCCCTATCCCATGAGGGCTTGTCCAGCTGCAGCGGCCAGGAGGCTTTGGGCTACGCCAGAGCATCTCTCGGGAGAGTCCAAATATTTGATGATATCTAGGAGCCTGATATTAATTTATTGACATGCATGTTAAGTGCTCTGGTACCTGTGCTCAGTGGTGGCCAGTGATAGGACAAGGGGCAATGGATACATGTTGAAACAGAGGAAGTTTCATCTGCGTATGAGGAAGAACTTCTTCACTKTGGGAGTGACAGAGCCCTGAAACAGGCTGCCTGGGGAGGTTGTGGAGTCTCCTTCACTGGAGATCTTCAAACCTACCTGGATGCCGCCTTGTGCCRTGTGCTCTCGGTGTCCCTGCTGGACTAGATGATCTCTAGAGGTGCCTTCCCAGCTCAACCGTTCYGTGATTCTGTCCAGGGGCAAGTGGGACTTCCACAAGTTTCTCAGCTGAACTCAGACATGATGCCCTCCTAGGAAGCGGCGGTGGAAGCACCGGAGCCCTGCAGCAAAGCTGCCATAACCTCATGCACCATTCCCAGGCTGAGCAAATCCCATGGGACGTAGCCAAGGGCTGGAGGTCACAGCCCCCTCTCCTGCCTCCAGCCACCCTGCTCCATCCTACGCTACAGCCAGACAACCCCAGAGGGCCTGCACGGATCTCTTCCTGCTCCCGGTCCCCTGGGAATGGCAGGAGRGAAGCTGGGTGCTTCCCCGCCTGCCCTCCTCTCTGCCTGACACACGGCACCTTTGGTTCTCCGCGAGCTGCAGAAAGAACTTTGCAAGGAAACCAACTGTTATTTATGCACATTTGAAAATATGTTTTGTTCAGCTGCGTATCCCTGCCAGCCTTGTTTAGGGAGATTTTAATAGTATCTGGCTTCTCTCTGCTTTTGTGTAMGAGATTAGGAAGTTTTCATCTGTGCCTTTAAAAAAAAACCGCATCCCTGCCAAGATTTATTAGGAGAGCTGTAAAAAAGGAGTCATCCTGTTCCAGGACTGCTAAGCTTATGTAACAGGGAAATCCTAACTAAAAGATACATCTCTCCCCTCTGCAGACTTCAAGGCACAGACCATCTCAGGCTTTTCAGCTTGATCTGCATTTTGATCATATCTGCCACTGGTTTATTTAGCGGTATTTACAAATACATTCTCCCACACACCCTCCTTTGTACATGCCGTGTAACGTTCCTTTAGAAAATGCAGTGCTGAGCACACCTCACCATGAGAATCTTTAAATAAAATATATTGTAAAGTGCCAGATACAATTCTTTTAAAAAAACACAGTTCGAATTAAAACAGACGCTTGGCTGCCTCGGTGGCAGCCTCATACACCGGTCCGGGTTTAGCACACGAGGCTATTCCTGTCCTGCGAGCRGGAGGCTCCGGTACGGCCCCCCTAGCTCTCCAGTTTCAAGTCCAAAGGCTTTAGGAAATGCGGCAGAGGCAGCTCGTCCAGAGCCTCGGGGAACCGCTCCGGCGAAATGGTCCTGATCAAGACGCGCATGGCGCTGACGAAGAGCGACGGCGGCGCCAGGCCCGCCAGGCACTGGAACCGCCTCTCCCCCAGGAGGTCCTGCCAGCGCTGCCGGTTGTCCACGAGCTGCTGCTTCATGGCGAAGCGCAGGTCCGCAGGCACGAAGAGGCAGAGGCAGTCGAGGCAGAGGAGCTTGGCGCGCATGTCAGCGGGCGGCGCCTGGGCCATCTGCTGCAGCAGGGTGTCGAGCGGCGTGTGGCCGGCGGCGTCGCGCAGGCAGGGCGAGGCGCCRTGGCCCAGCAGCAGCAGCAAGCACTCGGGCCGCACCAGCTCGCACGCCACGTGCAAGGCCGTCTTGCCGCCCTCCACGCGGCTGCAGCCCTGGCGGTCCAGGTGGGCGGCGCGGTCGCCGGCCGGGAAGCCCCGCATGGCCTTGAGGATGCGGAAGAGGATGCGGATGCGGTTGTAGCGCACGGCCATGGCCAGGTGCGGCGCGGACGCCTGGCAGCAGCTGAAGCTCTGGCTGGGCACGGCCAGGGCGCCCTGGGGGAACTTAGTCAGCAGGTGCTGGGCGTAGGAGTGGTGGTCGTGCACCAGGGCGTAGAGCAGCGCCTCGGAGGGCGAGTACACGCTCACCTTGCCCCCGTCCTCCCAGTGGAAGACCTCCATGGTGCGCATGTCCTCCAGCAGCCAGGCGGGCAGCAGGTCCCGCACGGCCTGGTAGAAGGCGAACGACGACTTCTTGCACTGCTTCTGCGACTGGGCGCCGCGGCCGCCCACCCAGCGCACGCTCCAGGGCATGGCGGCCCGCGGCGCTCCGGCGGGGCCCTCCAGCCGCCCCGGCGCACAGCGGCCGCATCGGCGCCGGCACCTGCGGGACGGAGCCGGCACGTTAGCGGCGCTGCGCCCAGCCACCGCCCACCCCGCTCCCCGGGAGCCCCGCGGGAACCCTCCTCCGCGGCGCGCGCGCGGGAGCCCGCCGCGCTGCGAGGGCCCCCCCTCCCCCGCCGCGGGACCTCCCCGCCCGC